GAGCACTCATCTCTTTGTGGCACTGGGCAGGTGGCCCTGACCTGTCCTTTGTCCCACCCTGGCTCCACACTCTCCTCCTGCCACAGGTGATCCAGAAGTTGGTGTTCCCCTTCAGCCGGATGAACTACCGCCCCTCCAACCATGGCGAGCTCTTCCCCAAGCTGGAGGCCATCCTGGAGCAGAAGGCTGGCAGCTCGCCACTGGCCACTGTCAACATTCTCATGTCCATGTTCCAGCTCAGCCACTTTCCTCAGACTGTCCTGCACCAGGTCTTCTCCCCAGCCTTCATCACCAATGTCATGAGTACGTCGGGCCTTTGCTGGGGGCCTCCTAGCTGGCAGAGCCCCGGTTGGGGTGAGGGTGGTCCCCCAGACCGTGGCTGGGTGAGCAGATGGCCATCCCTATGGGCTCCATCCCAGCTTCCCCCCGCAGGCAGCCCCTACGCGCTGATCGTGCGCCGGTACCTGTCGCTGCTGGACGCGGCAGTGGAGCTGGAGTTCCGGGAGTACAGTGGCCCCCGTCTCGACCCACGCTACCGTGTCCTCATGTTCGAGCATGCCCTGACCGCTGATGAGGCCAACAGGAAGTACAGGTGAGTGGGGGAAAGGGAGCACCCTTCTGCTGTTCCTCGCAGCGGGGGACAGGGTGTCTATGACCTACTCTGACAGGATCCTGGATAGTGCTGGGGTAAAGGCCCCTATGGCAGCTCCAGAACCTGTGGGGAAACACTGTAGAATCACAGAATCATTTGGAATTGCAGAATTGTTTGGGTGGAGAAAGCCTCAGACACCTCTGAGTCTACCTGTCCTCTGGCACTGCCAAGGCCACCACTGACCATGTCCCCAAGTGCCACATCCACAGGGCTATTAAATTCCCCTTGCCCTGGGCAGTGCTGCCGGGGCTGGGCAGCCTTTTTGAGGGGCTTTTGGTGTTCCCAATACTGTGAGAGCTTTTCTGTGAAAGGAACTGGARCCCATTGCCTCTTGCCCCCCAGCAGCCAAGCCCAAAACTCCAGCTCTCTTCTTCCTGCTCTTGGCAGTTCCGCTCTCTGTGTGATGTGCTCAGTACCAACAGTGCTGGGGGACAGGCCAGCCCCTGCAGTGCTCCTGCAACTGTCTCCTCTCCCCACAGCTACAAGGGACTGGTGGCCGAGGCACTGCGACAACTGGTGGGGGAGGAATGCTACCGGCAGGACGAGGTGCTGCCACCAGGGTACTGCACAGGTAACACCCCTGGGCTGTGGGGAGAGGGCTGCCAAGTGGGATCTGGGGACTGAGGGTAGGAGGTTATTTGGGGCAGAATGAGCTCTGGCTGCTTTGTCACTGCCTTTTCTGTGACAATGTCTTCGGGACAAAGCTGCCTGAGTCCTCCCACTGCAGGGAGGGGGGTTCCCCTGCACCTCTGTTTGCTGGCACAGAGTCCCAGCTGAGGCACAGGGTTCCCAAGCCCGTGTCCCATCAGTCGCTGATCCCTGTTCTCTCTCTTGCAGACTTCCTGCTGTGGATCAACCACTCAGGCACAGTGCTGCCTCTCTCACGTGTTCCAGCAGCTTCCAGGGCTCCCCCAGCTACATCCCTCGCCACCATGTCTCTGCGCTCCAGTGTGCTCGCCCTCACCTCAGACTTGCAGGACTTTGCCCCATTCGCCCCAGAGACACCCAGCAGCCCCCCAGGCCCCCGGGAGAGCAGCCGGGCCGGACGGTTCCTGCCGGCRCTCTGCCCGGCCCCGGGGGGGCCCTGCTTCCAGCCTCCCTCAGACTATTACTGTGGGCTGAGCAAGGAGCCGTCCCTGGGCAGCCCGGGCAGCTCCACGCTCAGCAGCCCCTCTGAGTGCCTCTCGGCGCCGCCGCCCAGCACCCCCGACTGCTCCCCCCGCGCCTCCACCACCTCCCTCTTCCAGTTCCCCATCGGCAAGATCCTGGAGGAGGAGGAGGAGTCCTCTGGCTGCCCTGGCCACAAACACAGCTGCTTCCAGGGGAAACAGGCCCAGGAGGAACCAGAGGAGCGGAGCCCYCCAGCCAGCGAGGACGCCGGCCGCCCGCCCTCACCATGCCGGCCCAGCTCCAAGCGGGGGCCAGGCGAGGAGCCACAGGGAGCTGAGGAGATCCAGAGGTACAGAGCAGGGCCATGTCCCCAGGCCGTGTTCCTGGTCCCTTCTGGCAGGACAGCCACCCTGGCACTGCCTTGGGCTCTTGCCCACTGACACACTCAGCCTTGGCCCCTTCCTGCCCAGTGCTGTGRGGTACCCACAGATCCATATCCCCTCTGCCCTGGAGTGCTGGGTACAGCTGTCCCTGCCACCAGCAGGGTCTGGGGTCATTTGAGGTGCTGCCCTTCAGCTGCCGCAGTGCTGGGGAGCAGAGTCCGTGGGGTGGCGTGACTCTGTGGCCTGGTGTGACACTGCACTCTCTGCTGTCCCCCCGTACAGGGTGGTGCTGTCGGTCAATGACAAGTGGCACTACTGCCAGAACTCCGACATCCTGGTGGGCTCCCGGGCCATGAGGGACCGGCACCTGCGGCTGCTGGGATACTGTCTAGTGCAGGTAAGTGGGGGCTGCCCTGGCCTCGTCAGGACCAGGGGGCACCGTGGGTGATGGGCTGTGAACTGTCATCTGATGGGCCTGGAGCTGAGAGCTGGCATCCCCGTGGAAGGATGGGCCCAGACCTGGCATGCCCATTGTAAACACTGCTGTCCCTGTGAGAGGAACCAGAAATGACTCATTCTTATGGCTCCTTCTTGCCCTCCCCCACCCCATCCAGGACTTCTTCCATTCAGCTGGTGGGTGACACCAGCCTTGAGGGAAAGCAGAAACAAGGGACAGTCCATCCTGTGAGCCGAGAACTGACCTGAGTGAGGGGAACGGGAGGGTGTTCAGCCCGGGCTGGCAAACTCAGCCACAGTGGCAGTAGCGGGTGCAGGGCCTCAGGGTGAAATCAGGTGGGGACACACATAGGTCCGCATGTGGTGACCTGTGACCCCTTTATGCCAAGGGGGCAGGAAGGAGGTTGGTTCACCTTCTGTGCCAGAGCCCTGCCTGCCCTGATTCCAGCCCCAGCTGCTCCCTGCTGAGTGCTGGGAGTGGAAGAGCCCTCAGGTTTGCAGCTCCTTTGGGAAAATCCGGGTGTTGGTTTAGGATATGCAGCTCCCGCACGCTTGTTTGTGGGTGGTTGTAGCCTGAGGAGGGTTCTTTCTGAGGAAAATGGCTCTGGAAATGAGCCCTCAGTCCTGTTCATTCTTGCACTGCAGAGGGGACCAGAATTACAGTGGTGGTTCCACCGTGCCATCCCACAGCCCTTCCCCTTCCAAAACCGCCTTACCCGCTGCTGCCTCCAGGCTGTGCCAGTACCGGCTCCTCTTCATTCTAGAGCTCAGCAGCCCAGAGCCCCGTGTTCATGCAGAGCTCCAGAGTCTTGTGACTCTGCTGAGGAATCACCTGGGAGGTGCCCAGCAGTGCAGCTGGGCAGGGAGCAGGGCCAGCTCTCCCTTGAGCTGGTGTTTGGGCCAGGCTGGACAGGCCTGTCTGTGTCCCTCCTGCAGAAGGCACAGCAGGGATCCAGCTGAAGGGACCTTAAAGCCCATCCAGTGGCACCCCCTGCCATGGACAGGAGCACCTTCACTGTGCCAGATCACTCCAAGGCCCATCCATCCTGGCCTTGGACACTGCYAGGGATCGAGGGGCAGCTGCAACTTCTCTGGGCACCCTGTGCCAGGGCCTCCCCACCCTCACAGGGAACAATTCCTTCCCAATATCCCATCCATCCCTGCCCTATGGCAATGGAAAGGCATTTCCTGTGTCCTGTCCTTCCAGTGAAGTCCCTCTCCAGCACTCTTGGAGCCTATTTAAGCACTGGAAGAGGCTCTAAAAGGTCTCCCCAGTGCTATCTCTTTCAGGTGAACGCCCCCAGCTCTCACCTGTTAAGGAGGAAACCTTTAACCCCTCCCCTGTGCTGCAAGTGGCTGGAGCATGGGTGCAAATGACCCTTAGTCTTGCTCTGTAGGTGCTGGTGGTGCCCTCAGGGCTGTTGGACCTGCAGGGTTTTCAGCCCCCCTAATACGCTGTCACCTCTCATGGAGGCTGGTGACAGGCTCGAGGGTGGGGTGAGGCTCAAGATTCCTCCCTGTGTGTGCCAGCACCACCTGTCCAGGGCTGAGCTAAGGCTTGACAAGCCTGGAGGTGGCCATTGTCTGCATTTCCCTCCATCCCCTTGCCAGGAACCGTGCTGCCCTCCTCCAGGGAGGGTCTTGTGTCATGGCTCTTCCTCCCACCACCACAGAAGGCTGAACAGGGTTGGGGGCTGGAGGTACTGGGGATATGGGTGCGGCCAGACATACTGTCACCACTCTGACATTGTACCCCTGTCCCCTCACAGCTGCCCTACACAGAGCTGGAGAAGGTGAGTGGCATCGAGGAGGCCAAGCACTACCTGCGGCAGAAGCTGAGGGAGCTGCGCTTCTGAGGGACAGACCCGGGGGTTGTGGGGGGCCAGGTGGGTGCTGCCAGCCCCTTCCCCTGGGCAGGGGGATATGGAGCTGCCCCCCATCCCAGGGGGTCAGGGGGATATGGAGATGCTCCCCATCCTGGGGGGCCAGGCTGTGAGGCCAGGCCATGGGCATCTGYTCCAGCTGAGGGGCTGGGGGAGTGTGAGATTATTTATTGCCATTGTGGGGGGCCAGGGTGTGACTTGAGGGGCGCGTGGGGCGGGGAGGTGGTAGTACTGGGGTGGGGGGAAGGTCCCTCATGGCCCCCCTGCTTCAGCTTTGCCACCCTAGCCCAGTCCATGTTGCTGCAGGGGCCAGGCCTGGGCTCCCCTCAGCCCCAGGGGTGTCTGTGTGCCTCCAGCACAGCTACTGGCATGGGGGACTGAGCCTGGCCCCGCCATGGGCTGCGGGGGGGCGGGGCTGCAGTGGATCATATGGAGGGCTGGGAGCGGGTGTGCRCAGGGGGCTGTTCCCAGGGCCTGGGCCAGGAGGAGGGGGGTGCTTGGGAAGGGGGGAACTTTCCAATAAAACTGGTGAAAAGTGTGCAAAGTCCGGTCTCTTTATTAGTTGAAGGCAGCGGGGGCCCTGGCCCTCACCTTGGCAGCACCCCAGGGACAGGCCAGAGCAGGCTCCCCTTGGCAGGGCTGTCCCCCAGCACCTCTGCCCCGAGCCCCTTGGGGCTAAAGCTATTTATTGCCTTTGAATTCATGTTCCATAAAGCCCGGGGAGGGGCTCAGGTGACGCCCGAGTGTCGGGCAGGAGCCCAGGGGCTGCGGGGGCAGCGGCAGCGCTGCTGAGTGGGCCAGGAAGGCTCTGTTCAGGGCGTGGGCAGAAGGTGTCTGGGGGGCTGTACCGCGGGCCTGGTCCGGTATCTGTTGGACAGGTGCCCTCCGAGGGCCTGGGGAGTGCAGGGGGCCCATCCCCGCGGGGCACGGCCGCACAGCCACTGCTCCCGGCCCCACGGTGYGAGGGTCCGGCCGTGCCCGACGCCCACAGCGAGCCGTGAGCCGCTGGTGCCTTCACACCGGCATCGGCATCTCGTTGTACTCGTCCACACCTTCCCGCTCGTCCAGGATGGGCTCGGCCTCGGCCGCGTCCAGCTGCAGGACACGGCGGCTGAGGAGCAGCGAGGGCCCGCCCGACCCTGCCCTCCCCGGCGGCTGAGGGGCAGCGAGGGCCCGCCCGACCCTGCCCTCCCCGGCGGCTGAGGGGCAGCGAGGGCCCGCCCGACCCTGCCCTCCCCGGCGGCTGAGGGGCAGCGACTGCCCGCCCGACCCTGCTCTCCCCGGCGGCTGAGGGGCAGCGAGGGCCCGCCCGACCCTGCCCTCCCCGGCGGCTGAGGGGCAGCGACTGCCCGCCCGACCCTGCTCTCCCCGGCGGCTGAGGGGCAGCGAGGGCCCGCCCGACCCTGCTCTCCCCGGGAGCCCGCCGCCCTTGCCTACCCCCCGGGGGACAAGAAAGGCGGCCACTTACACACTTCATCTCGCGGTCGGTGAAGATGCGGCTGAGCAGGCACATGCGGAGCGGCACCGTGAGGATGAGGATGAAGGGGAAGGCGAGGGAGGCCACAGTGGACATGACGGCCCAGAGCACGGCCAGGCAGGCCAGCTGCAGCCCGGTGAACAGGTGCATGCGCAGCGTGCGCACCTGGGCACGGAGAGGTGTCAGTGCTGGGGCGCCTGGCTGGGCCCCGCGTCCCCCTCCCACCACAGACACAGCCTGGCTCAGGGGTACCCACAACCCCAGACACAGCTCCCCCAGCTCTGCTGGGGTCTAGCTCCCCTGGCCCTACCCTGTCCTCCTCTGCCCCCCTAAACAAGGCTCGGCCACAGCCTATCGTGCAGACACCTCAGTGGTCCCACCCAAGGGTGGCCCAGCCTTGCTGCTGTCCCAGACAAGGGTCCCAGACAAGGATCCTCCCCAGGCCCCCTCCCCACCTTTTTGACATAGGTGACATCAGGATGGTGCTTGGCGGGCATCAGCAGCAGCTGCAGGCGTTCGTAGAACTGGATGCCATTGAGGGAGGTGACACCCATGTAGAGGAAGATGCCAAAGAGCACGGCAAGTGGGATCTGCCGCAGCAGGTCCCCRATGACGATGGATAGCCCTGGGCCAGAGTTGTGTCAGCCTGGGGAAAGGGCTCAGCACAGCCCTCCAGCCCCATTTCACTCTGCCCACTTAGCCCCCTCACATGGGGAGATTCCCACATGCCTGTGTCCCCAGTGCCAGACCTACCAACAAGCACAGCCACCAGCAGCCCGGTGACCCGCTGCTCCTTCACCTCCTGGATCTTGGGCTTGTCCCCAGGTGCCACAGCCTTGCTCATGACAGTGAGGGCATTGGCATGGGTGACTGAGCGAACAGTGGCTGCAGCAAGCCAGGGTAACCCAAAGAGCGCGAAGAAACCACCCATGGCTACGATGAGCAGTAGGTCGAGGTGGAACCCAGAGCCCTTCTGAAGCATCCGCTCCTTCTTGCTGATGATCAGCCTGGGCACAAGAGCAGATGGTCAGCAGAGCACAGCCTCCCCTTTGCCCCACCAATGCCCCTTGCCCAACCCCACTGCACTCACGTGGTGATCTGGGTCTCCATGAAGATGAGGATGAAGACAAGGACGGCGGGAAGGCCGCTGGCCACCATCATCCACACAGGGAAGTCACTCTGTTCACCCAAAGGGTTGATCACCCAACCCCGCTTGTCTGGAGCTGTCACTGAGAACCCACTGGGCACACTCAGCTTCTGCAGGGGGGTAGAGGAGACAGAAATGCTGAGGAGAGGCCACTGGCTGTGCCCCCCAGAGTGAGTGGCTATGGAGGCACCAGGACCACCAGACTCAAAGGAAGCAGGAAGGTCAGATGCTGGGAGCCAGAGGTGACTGAGCAGGTGCAACTGTGCTGGGACCAGATGGCTGCTGTCCACAGCCAGGACAGTGGGATGGTGCACAGGGACCCATAGGAGGGTGTGGGATGAGGGATCCTGCCCAGGGGGTGGGTGGGTRGCTGCTCACCTGTGTGTAGGTGTCCTGGATGCTGTAGTCCACCAGCACCATCACCAGAATGGCGATAGGCACCCCAAAGTCCCCGATGAGCCTCCGGATCTGGGGGAACACCAGCGCCAACCTGGCCACAGCCCCCCGGCTCACCCCAGCCCCCTGGGCTCGTCCCAGCCCCAAGGCCCCAGGCTCGTCCCAGCCCCACGGCCATCCCCACGCACCCGTCCGGGGAAGAAGCGGCTGTTCTTGAACTTGCGCAGGAAGAAGGCGATGAAGAAAGTGCCGGCCATGAGCACAAGTGAGAGCAGCGCTGTGTTGGGCTGCCCCGTGACCTTGGTGGCACCACGGGTGGCCAGGGCTGTGGCGTTGACTGCGACCGTGCTGCCGTTGTCCCAGGCCTCAGCCGAGCTGTTGGCGCTCAAGCAGCCATGTAGCGGGTGCTCTTGGAAGATCTGCAGCAGCAGGACGGGATGTTCAGTCCCATCCTGCCTGGCCCTGCTGCAGCCCACCCTGGCTCACGCTCCCCGGCTCACCTTAGCCAGCTTGGAGAAGGTCTCATAGATGAAGATGAGAGAGATGAGAAAGGCAAAGATCTCCTGGGTGAAGCGGGAGACAAAACGCACCAGGAAGCTGCCCTCAAAGGCCACCATGACCAGCACGATGAGGATGAGCCAGAAGCCGATCCAGACACGTCCCACCAGGTACTCCAGGTCGTTGGATGTGCAGAACTGCCCAGCCCCGCAGACGGATGGACAGATGAGTGTCAGGATGATCGCAAGGCTGGACACAKTGGGGCAGAGCCCTGGCAGGAGCACTGGGGGGATGTCTGCCCTGGGCAAGGGGGCCAGGGTGGGAGTGACTCCCCCTGCCCCCAGGGCAGACCCCAGCCCCTCACCGTGAAGAAGGCTTCCTCAAAGACGAGTAGTGGCCCCGAGAAGCCAATGACGAGTAGGGGCTGAGCACCCAGCAGGCAGAAGAGGACGCCCTGCAGCGACGTTGAGATGATCAGCTCCGACACCCCAATCAGGTCCTGCGTCTTCTCCCCTGCAGCAGGACAGGCTCAGGCACACCAGCAGGATGGATCCTTTGGCCTCAGCGCCACAGCGTTGCCCCACAGCACATGTACCGGGTGGCACCCAGCCACCCTTGCAGCCCCCTGTGACCCCGCCACCCCCCACAGGCCTTCACAGCCCCACCACTCACCCAGCAGCCCCCCAAAGGTGATGGCAGGTGACAAGGCAGCGAAGTAGATAAAGATGACGGCAGCGATGCATTGGGGGTCCAGCGCATCGCGGAAGTCACTCAGGTACTGGGGGTACCGCCGCCGCATGTCCCGGATCAGCCCCCCAAAGGGGCGGCCCGTGCGCCTCAGGGGGTCATCGTCCTCAGCCTCATCCTCCACCACTTTGAGCTTCAGCAGCGCTGGGGGTGGGTGGATGCATGGACAGGCAGACGGTGAGACCCCACCAGCTGGGACACCCCCCCAAACCCCACCCTGGCCMCAGCCCTGCCCCAGGCACCTTTCTCCTCAGGGGACTTGGGCTCCAGCAGCAGCCTCCGCTCCTGCTCCATCCTCTTCTTCAGCATCTCGCGCTGGAAATGAGCGACGCTGCGCAGCAGCTCCTCGCCCTGCACCTCGGATGGCGGTAGCACCACGCTGCAGTCCAGGAACTCGTTGATGGCGTTCAGCAGGTCATGCCGGTCGTCAGCCAGGTACGCGGCCTCGTGGAATTGCTGGGGGACAATGGCAGTCAGTACCCATCCCACAGCACTAGGGTGTTCTGAGATCCCGCCTTCACACAACCCCAAACCCACAGCCTCAGTAYGGCCCTGGTCCTGTCATGGCCCTGAGCCCCCAACCCCAGCAGAGCCCTAGTCYCCACCCCAGCATGGCCATAAGATGCAAACATGGAAAGGGCCAGCTGCCATCCTGGTATGGCCCCAAGCTCCTCAGCCCTGACAGGACCCCAAGCCTTCATGCTGGCATGTCTCTAGACCTCAGCATTGGCATGATCTGAGCCCTCCAGCCCATCCTGCCTGAGACCTGAGGTCCCTGTCCCATCACAGCCCCAAACCACTGGTAGACCCTGGCCCCATCAAGACCCTGGCCCCATCAAGACCCTGGCCACAGCATGACCCTGAACTCCCAGCCCTGGCACAACCCCAAGCTCCCTGCCCAGCACAGCCTCAAGCCCCTGCTCCAGCAGAGCCCTGAACCCTGATCCTGGCACAGACCCAGAGCCCCCCACCCCAGCAAGATCCCCATGCCCTGGGGCATGGACCTTGTCAGACATGAGGGTGGAGATGGAGCGCCCAATCTCATGATAGTCCATGTGGGTGCTGCTGGGGCCCAGCAGCACGAAGAGGAACCGCACAGGCACGGGCACCTCCAGCACCGCGTCCAGCTCCACGGCCTCCTGCAGCCGCACAAAGGCCATGGTGGGCTGGTCCAGGAACTCCACACAGCCTGGGGGGCACAAGGGGCACAGGGGTCATCAGGGTGCCCAGCATGTGGTCCCCACCCCCCTGTCCTGYTCGCCCTTCCATACCCACGAGCACCACCGTGGCCTCAGCATTGTCTGGGATTTTCTCCAGCAGCTTCAACTCGTGCTTTGACTTGGAGCGAGTGATGCCAGCTGGGGGCGTGGGGGTGAGGACTTCCTTCTGTGGGGACAGAGTGATGGACTGGGGTTAGGGCCTTTCCCCAGGGCACAGGCAGGGCTGGGGGGGCCATGACACCCACCTCCCGCTCCACATCGACGCGCGTGTCGTGCTCGGTGGTGTGGCCAGCGATGAGGGGCTCAGTGACAGCTGGCTCGCTGCCCTCAGCCACGTGGTTGGTGCTGTGGTGGTGCATGAGCAGGGAGCCCAAGCTGCCTGCCGAAATGTTCCGCGGGAAGGAGAACTCCTTCTCGTCGCTCGGGTGGCTGCAGGACAGGGCCAAGGCTGTCAAGGGAGGCCCCATGGCACAGCCATTGCCAGGATGCTGGGGACACCATTATTCCCATAGCTCAARGAGCAGAGCCTAGGGGAAGGGTGCTGTTCTTGCCCCCCACGCCCACCTGTGCTTGAGCAGCAGYGCCCGCAGCACATTGGCACGGTCCTCAGCCCGGATCTGGTCCGTGATGACCATCTGCTCCACCACCTGGTGAGCCACCCCCGGCAGCGTCTTTTGGTCCAGGTCCAGGAGCACGGCCCCTAGGCAAGGGAGGGGAGGCTGAGGCCAGCAGGGACAGGACCCCATCTCACAATGGACCCCACAGGGTGGTCTCCACCTCCCTACCGTGGGCCAGGGTCTTGCGGAGCTCCAGGAGGCTGCGGAAGGAGAGGGAGGCCACATGTGGCTTGCCCCAGCGATCCGTCTCCTCCTCCACATCCTCCTCAAACTTGATCCAGCGTGCTGTCTCCTTCCACTGCAGCTCCTGGTTCTTGTCCAGCACCAGCTCGTTCAGCTCCACAAACACCTGCAGCACAGCTGGGTTAGTGCCAGGACTCCAGGGCCCCCCGTCCGTGCCTGTCCCCTGCCCCAGGATCCCGCACCTCATGGGGCTGACGGTCCTGCTTGCGCTGCCGTGTGCTGGGCTCCTTGTGGTCCTTGCTGACATGGACCATCTGTGCCTTGGCGCTCTTCCGCACCAGGTGCCGGCGCACCCCTGGCACATCCTCAAAGCGGTGACCTGAKGGGGGGGTCAGTTATGGTGGGGAGTCGGCAATCTGTGGGGACCTGCATCCCAAATCCCAGCACAGGGGACACTGAGCCCTGGTATGGGTGGCTGTGGAGCCATGTACCCTGCCTGGGATAGCTCAGGGCAGAGAGATCATCCCAATGCCAGGGTGAATGCTGCAGCTTTGGGGGGTCACTCAGTCACCACCAGCAGTGCCAAGCAGGAATCAAGGTGGCTCCCGGCACTGGGGTCATCTGCACCCCATGTGCCATGGCCCACATGTGCCTGGTGGCACACGGGCTCTGCCCTGGTTGCGCTCCCCCGGGACCTCCACAGCAAAAGCATCACCCACTACCCTGAGAGTCCCTGGACTGCGAATCCCAGGGACTGATGGGTGCCCAGGGGAGCCATCACTGCTACCATCATCACTGGCTCCAGGTGCCCTGGCTTGGCCACACTCCACAGGGACTCGGTCCAGGCCTGGCACCAGGGACGGGTCCCCTGTGGTTGTGCCCAACCCTGGGAGCAGGGTCAGTGCCTGCACCCAGCCCAGCTTGGCTGCAGCCACAAAGCAACCTGGCACTGCCAGCCCTGCTGTCCCAACCCACCCCCATCCCCACCATCCCCAGCAATGCCAGCCCCACCATCCCCCAGCCCCACTCCACTGGCACTGCCTGACCCATTGTCCTGGCCCCACTCGCCCGATACAGATTCACCACCGGTGCAGCCCCAGGTGCACAGGGAGCCCCCCACTCACTCTTCATGTAGTCCAGGTCAGCTGAGGCCAGTGTCTGTGCCTCTGACTCATCTGTCGGCATTTTCTGGTACCGGTCCTGCTCAGCAGCCGTCATGCTGCCAATGCACCGCCGTTCGTGCAGGTTGTAGCTCCGGTGCCCCAGCTGTGACTTGGGTGCAGGACGACCTGGGGACCCAGCCTCGGTGGCTGCCCCCTCCCCCAGAGCTCCCTGCTCTGCATCAGGGCTGCAAGGCAGGAACCCACCTCAGTGTGGGGCCCCTCTCTGCAACCCAACCCGCCATGGGGGACTGGAAAGGGCTGCTCAGCCCCCAAACTTGCCAAGGGGGACCGAGGGGACTGGTGCCCCCCAGCCCTGCCATGGGGCAGACAAAAGATGCTGCCCACTCCCCAAGAACCCCAGTGTTGCCCAACCTCAGCTCACCTGCYGGCCTGGGATTCCTTTGGGGTCATGCCCCCCTTGGCCTCCGGGGGGGAGCCAGGCAGTACCGCGGTGGCCTCTGGCTCCTCTGCCCGGCGGTCGGTCACCTCATCCTCTTGCAAGAAGAACTGGGAGGGGGTGAGCAGCTGCTGGGGAGCTGTGTCCCCCTGGCCATGGGCACCACCAGCCCCAGCTCCTCTGGTGCTACAGCTGTGCCCAGATGTGCTGAGCCCGTGGGCGCTGTGCCCAACCCAGCCCCACCCTCACCTGCACTGCCTCGGCTGGCCCGGGCTGCCGCAGCTCCTCCGCCGACCGCTCTGTCTCTGTGTCGCACACGTCATCCTCATCCTCTTCGGCCTCCTCAATGGTGGGAGTCTCTCCAGGGACAGAGGCACGCCGGGCCTTCTTTTTGCCCTTTTTCGGGACCCCTTTCTTGCGGCGGGCATCGAGGGGCAGGTGCGTGGAGAGGGGATGGTGGATGTGGTGGGACGACTGGCGGTGGTCTAGGAGGACAGAGAGTTGGTGGTTTGYTCCCTGCCCATTTCCTGCCCATTCCCCACTGCCCGCTTGCCCCCTGACTGCTCCCCACCCATTCCCTCCTCTGTGCCCGCCCGTGGCCCCACTCACACTCAAAGTCCTCCTCGCCRTAGCTGCGCCCGGCCTCCTCCGCGCTGCGGGGATGAGCGTCGTTCAGGATCTCCTCGAAGCGCTCCACGCCCAGCGCCTTGTTCAGGTCCTTCTCCTCCTCCTCCTCCACAAAGGCAGGTGAGCCGGCGCCCAGCGCCTCCTGCTCGGGCTGTGGGCCAGCAGCAGGGATGAGCAGGCACCTGGCACTGCCACCCACCATGCCACCGGCCCCAGCGTGCCCCGGTCACGCACTCCTGTGCGATGGGTGCCTCGGGCAGGGGCTCTCTGAGCCCCCAAYGGCACCCAAGGGCTGTGCACCCCCTGTGCCCTGGGCTGGGCACCCACTGCATCATTCACACCCCACACACCGCCAGTGCCCCCAGACTCAGCACTGTGCTCCAGTGTTACCTCCACCCCATGTGCCASAGCACCACAGTTCCAGGGCGCGGGGCTGTGCCCCTGGGTATCCCAGTGCCCTGCTCTCCTGCGAACTGGGACCCAGCACACCAGGGCAGTGCCCTGCACAACTTCAGCCCCTGCAGTGTCTCACCCTGGTGCCGTGCCCCCCTGCCCCTCGGACAGCCCCCAGTGGTGTCCCCGCCCCGTTCCCCAGCCCCTGCACCCGCAGTGCCCCCAGCGCTGTGCCCCCCCCCGCCCAGTGCTGCTGCTGCTGCACCCCAGCCGTGGGTGCTGAAGGGCAAGGGGTGGGCTCGGGGGAGACGGGCTGCGGGTGCGGGGGGGCGGGGCTGGGGGGCGGGAGGGGGTGCAAGGCTGGGGGGGGAGAGGGATGTGGAGGAATGGGGGGTGCGGGGGGGTTTGAGGGTATGTGGGACTGGGGGTTGTAGGAGGTGCAGGGACACAGGGGATTCGGAGCTGGGGTTGTTTTAAGGGTTATGCGGGGCTGACGGTTGCGGGAGGGTTGCTGGGGAAGTGCGGGGGGGCTGCGGGGGGCGCGTCCCCAGCCGGTCCTACCTGAGTCATGGCGGAGCCGCTCCCGCCGCAGCTCCCGCAGCGCTTTATCGGAGCGGCGGGACCGGCCGGGGATGGGGCCGAGGAGCGGGGCGGGGGGGAGCGAGGGGGAGCCGGGGAGGGAACCGGGGGGGCGGCGGCTCCGTCCCGGCCTCGCCAAATATTGACGGAGTCGCCTCGCGCCCGTCTCAAGGTGACGGGAAACGCAGAGGGCACCGGCAGCACCGCGGCAACGGCAGCGGCCCCGGAGCGACCGGCCCCCCCGGAATGCACCGACTCCCCCCGGGATGCACCAGCCCCCTTGGGATGCACCGGCCCCACTCGGGATGCGCCGATCCCCCTCCAGCTCCGGCCCCCCAGGACGCATTGGCACCCCGGGATGCATCAGCCCCTACCGCCGAGCCCCGGCTCCCCCCGAACAACCGGCTCCCCACCCCCAGCTCAGATTCACCCCCCCCAGGAATGCAGCGACTCCACGACCACACTCCGATCCCCGGGTGCTACATGCCCCGCCAATAAATCCCCTCCAGTGACCCTGGGGCTAGGCAGATCCTGGACCCGGGGACGGGGGGACATGCGATGGAGGAGCAAGGGGCTACAAGGGGCACCCAGGCATGGGGATCTGCCTGCAGCGACACCCCTGGGCAGCGGCGGGGCAGCTCCCACCGCCCCCAGTGGGCATCCCACAGCACTTGCCGGTCAAAGGCTGTGCTATGGCCACCCCACCCAAATCCCAGCCCCCGTATCATATTTAGGCACAGCCGTGGTCCCCCATCCCTGTCCCCAGTGCACAGTGACCACAGGGACCCCCGGGGGGTAACCCGGCCGGTGACACAGGGGGCGATCCAGGTGATCACCCATGCCACCCCATCACACTCGCCCCCCTGGCACACAGAGGCTGCCACGTGCTGGCGGCAGTAGGGTTAGGCCACATCCTGCACTTACATCCCCCCCACCACGTCCCTTCTACCATCCCTGTGACCCCTTCGATCCCCCAGACCCCCCAAGCCCYTTTGACCACAGCCCCATGGCCCCAAACCTGCCAGGCTCCACCCTGTGCCCCAGCAGCACCCAATACACTCCTTTGCCCAGCACCTGGCATCACCCTTGCACAGGTGGGCACGGTGCCCTGAGTTGGCACCATGGAGAGAGCCCCCAACAGCCCCCCAGGCCGCAGCTTACCAGGGAGCCCCGGAGGAAATCCATGAGGATGGGGCCAGTCCCATCCCCAGTCACGTGCACGCGACGGGGACTTGCCAACGGCACCGGGCAGCCGCGGCGTGACGTGGGGGTCAATCATTAACTCAGCCCGGGACCAGTCGCTGGGGCAGCACTGGCACTGCGGGCACCATCACRGCCGTGCCACCAGAAGCGCTGGCACTTTGCCAGCTCCAAGGGCGCCTGCCATCCTGGAACAGCTGGCGCAGTCTGCCCCAGGGAGCTGCTGTGGGGCACTCCTGTCCCATGGCTGAGCAACAGGGCAGGTGCCACAGGGCACTGCTGGTACCGCAAAACCGAGCAACGGGGCAGATGCCACACAGCCCTGCCAGCACCCCACAACACCTAAGCAATGGGATAGGCACTGCCAGCATCCCACAGCCCAGCAATCGGGTATCCCCCAGGTGCACCATGGCAGGAGGGCTGTGCCATGCCACCGGTCACCCCTCCAGGCACCATCACGGGGGTGCAGCCTCTCATCCACCCCAGCCATGAGGCCCACCCCCACAGTGGCACTTACGCTCTGGAAGGCTGAGGAGATGATGTGGTGAAGCTCGGAAGACACCTGGGAGTGGGTCATGGTGCCAGCACAGCCCTCAACACAGCTGGCTTATCCCTTTTCTTTCTCACGAGGGCTCAGGGGACGCTGTCGGGGCAGCATAACCTGGGGGCACAGAGCGGGATCAGGGGGTCTCTCCGGAGCAGCGCCACAGGCAGGGGCCGGGGCTGCCCCTCCTCAGGTTAGGCTGGCTCCGGGCTGGTTTGTCTTGGCCACTGGTTGGAATGGGAGAGCTGTGGCCAAGACAAACGCCGGGAGGGGAGTGGAGCCGGGGCAGCGGGACCCCGGGCAAGCACCCAACTCCACGGGGTGTGGGCAGGGTGCCAGACTTGGGGGGGTCACAGCAGCACCCGACCCTCCCGAAACCCCACAGCCCCCCCAGTTCCCCCAGCCAAAACCAGCTTCCACCCACACTTGCCCTTCAGCAGCTCCCCGGGCCCTGCGCTGACCCCTCTGGCACCAGTGTGCCGGGTTTATTGCCACAGGAGGTGGCCCCACGTGACGGTGGGGACTGAGAAGGGTGGTGACGGATGACTGCGTCTCACATGGGTGGCATCACCATCCTTGTCACCGCCACGCTGGGGTGCCAGCCCAGTGGCCGTGGTGAGGGTTGAGGAGTCGCAGCCTCAGTGAACACCGAGGCTGCAGCTCCTCAAGCCTCACCACAGCCCTGGATCCCACCTTTTCCCAAAATTCGGTGCTACCCTGCTCCAGCTGCTCCTAAGCTCCGCTCCCGTCCGGGGCCGGAGCCAGCACATCCACATTCCAGCAAGCAGATTATCCGCCCTGCCACACCGCTCTCCTGGGGCGCCCGCCAAGCTGCCGCCAGCATTCAACCCCCCCCAAATTCAGGATGGGACCCTCCCACGGGGGGGATGAGGTACTGGGCCACCACCTCGGTGGGTGCTGGAGTGCCGGCGCAGGATGGCATCGCTGCTCCAGGCGCTAAGCAGCTTTTTGGCTTAATCCCGTGGGCAGCTCAGGATTAGTTTGGGAACACACTGGGATTGTTCTCGGGAACGTCGTGCTCTCACCAAAACACCCAAAAAGGGGGTCCAGGCCCCCAGGTGTCACAGCAGGGATTCAGCAGGATAGTGGCCCAGGGAACATGTGGTGCCCAGGAGCCAGGGGCATGACCCTGCTGGAAAGGATGATGGACAGTTGGGGGAGAGCACAGGGGGACACTTCTGCTTTCCATGGCAGTCGCTGAGTCACACATGAGCAGCGGTTGGGAACAGCTCAGGGCTCGTGCCAGCACTGCGGAAAAAGGCCAGAACCAGCGGTGCCCTGTGGCCAGCCCCATTCCCAGGATGCTCTGACACCCCACAATGGGGGTACAGGTCCAGATTAGACACCCCAGGACAATCCCACGGTCACTGCATGGCTGCAGTGCCACCACCTTGTCCCGCTCCTGGGCAGAAGGGTAGGGACACACGCCCGTGGCCATGGTGGCGGCGGGACCGTGACGGTGTCACTGCTGGCATCGCCACCAGCCGCGCCCCGTGCGTGGCCCCGCAGCACAATGGCCCCTTGTGCAAGGCCGGGCTGCCCCGATAAGCGGGGCAGGGCTGCGATCCCGGACAGCTGCCAGCACTGGCCACACCGGGAATGACCTGCCACTGCCACGGGCTCTCGGCACCGCCGCCACGGCCACTCCCGCGCCGCCRGAGTCACATTCCTGGGACCGGCCCTGGCCTGCCTGAGCTGCTGAGGCGATTAGAGGGCTCGGCCTTAGCCCCACACTGCCTCGGGGCTGCCCCAGAGGGCCCATGAGCTCCTGAACCCGTCCTACGCCAGGACCCACCTCTGATACCACCAGCACCRCCAGCACTGGGGCGGCGGGCTGAGCACTGCGGGAAGTGGGACAACGATGCTGGCACCTGCGTCACAGGCAGCGCATTCACATTGGGACACCCATGTCCACACCAGGACAATTATGTCCTGGACAGCCTGTCCACACMAGGACAATCACATCCACACCGAGACACCCACGTCCATGGAAGCCAGTTGACACATCCACACCAGGACAATCTGTCTACAGCACAGACTCAAAATCCCATGAGAAGAGACAAGACTGGGAGCAGGGGCCCCCCAGSACAGCAAGTGTCCTCCTGTCCACTCTCCCATGCCAATGCCCCCAGCAGCAGCAGCAGCAGCACAACTCCTGTCACCACATGTCCAGCCACCACTGTGTCACCCAGCAGATCGCTGACCTGGGTTCAGTGCACACACATGTGCCACCCATGCTTGTGCCCACACTGGCATCAAGGCTGATGGTGACCCCTGTGCACGTTTGCCAGCCTGGGTGATGACACCAACTGCACCTTTGGTGACAAGGAACATACCATGTGTGTTGCAGCCTCCCTGCTGGCAGCATCCCGCAGCACAGCATGTGCCAGGCAGAAGAATGGCCAGGGCAATGCCAGCACATCTCAGGCTGTGCCCAGCTCCTGGGCAGACATGACCAGGAAAGAGGGGAGTCAGAAGACCCCCATTTCCCTGCACCTCAAAATGGAGGAGGCCCACCACTCTGCCCACCCCCAAGTATGGGAGACCCCAGCTCCCTGCAGCCCCTTGCTCCCTGCCCCAGCTCACGTGGCTGCTCCGGGAGATCCCTGGGAGATCCCAGCACCTCGTGTGCCCCTCAGGTCCCACCCAGTAGAGGCAGTTGGGATCCTGCACCCTCTCATCACCATGGGACCCCAGGGGATGCAGGTGGGCCAGACRCCACTGGCTCCTCCCGGCAGAACTTCACGCACTGAAGCTTTGGAAACCAACACCAAAAGTATTCATCTGCCCCCCACCCCCTTGCCCATGGCCTCAAAACCACCGGATCTGGAAATGAATCACAGCTCTGCACCTCCCCGTGGTGCCACTACCACTGTCACTGCCACTGTCACTGATGTACCAGAGCACCCCACACCAACTCACTGCCACCTCAGAGAGGCCAGGACCCCACTCCATGCAGCACCAGACCTATGAGAGACTCCTGCCATTGCCCTCTATGGTCCCCACCACCATTCCTATCTCAGCCCCAGGAATGGACAGGCACAGCTGCCCCCCGCAATCCTGTGGGGGACATGCACCAGCATTGACATCCCTACAGGATGGGGCCCCGTTGAGGGGAGTGGTCTGGCCACAGGGACAGCCACACTGTTATCTGCGGCAGGGCTGGGCAAMTCCCACCCACCCACGTCCGTCAGAGCCCACCGGGGAGGTGTCACCCCTGCTGTGCCACCCGCAGTCCCAGCACAGGCTCAGCCACACTCACCCCATCCCCCGCCGACCCAGTAAGCCCAAGGCTCCAGCAGCTTCTGCCGGTCCCACCTCCCCAGGACGGGGTCCTGCCCCAGGAATGACGTGGGACCCCGGCACGGCAGGGCTGAGGCCCCGAGTGTGTCCGGAGCAGGACCGCGGGCAGCCGCGCTGTGCCCGGAGCTGCAGWGCACTGCCAGGAGTTTTATACCAGCTCAGGAGGAAAACAACCCGCGAGTGCAGCGGCGGGAGCGCTAGGCTTTGTTCCGTGCAGCAGCTTCGGATCCAAACAGCACAGCTCTGCCAAGTCCTTCGCCGTGGCTCCCGTGGCGACCCTGCTCCCACCTCAGGCGTCTTTGGGGACACAGGGGACATGACCCCCTTCATGAACACAGGGTCTCACCTCGGGCAGGCGTTGTACCCACCCCCTTGGCCTCACGCCCCTGGAATGCCCCAGTGCGGCGTCCTCGGGCAGCTAGCCCGGTCCCTGCGGCCACCACATCCCGCCTAATGACAGGCTGTGACTGTGGGGGCTGCAATGGGGACAGCACGGGGACACGGCTCCCACGGTCCCCTCCCTTCCGCCGGCTGGGATGGCATCCGCAGGCAGGGTGGCACCTGGGTCACCCTCAGCCCTTCCCAAGGGACGCGAGGTGCCAAGGTCACCCGACCCGTGCTTTGGACCCTTCTGCCAACCCCATCTCCTTCAGTGCTGCTGCCTGCCCAGGACAGGTGACAAACCAGGTACAGCCCTACCTGGGCACAGGGCCAGCCCCGCTCCCGGCCCCCGAGCCCCCGAGAGCGCAGGCGGAAGGGCTGCCGGCGGGGAGGCGCAGGCACTGGTGCCAGTGGATCGTTAGAACGATCAAATCCCGWGTTTTTTGGCAACCGCTTGAAGTGGTGCAGCGACCCCGAAGGGCTCGGCAGCGGGGTCCCTCCTGGAGCCCCCCTCAGTGGGGGGAGTGGGCAGGCACGGAGCCCTTGTTGCAGTACTGGGAGCTGCCAACATAATTCCACCACGGAGCAATCCCACCTCCTGACACCGTATCAGAGGCCAAAGGGATYTCTGCAAATGGGGAGTGGAACAGCCACAGGCAGCACAGCCCCCAAAACCTTCAGCCACCCCAGACCTGCTGCCCCCTCCCTGGGGACGCGCTCCAGAGCCACGGGAGCCCACGCGCCGTGGGAGAGTCCTGGGCTGGAGCCGTGCCCGGCGTTGCTCAACCCCGGATGGTTTCGCAAGGGGCAGTGCCCCGGCACCCGGTGGCTCTCAGTGGGCACCGTGCGACCCCCAGCCCCTCGGACTTCCCGTTCAGGGGTGGCAGGAGGGTGGCAGGTGGCTGAATGATCCCAGTCTCCTTCTTAATCCTGCAGACCCCTCACGTCCGTCTGATCGCGGGGAGAGGGTGGGTGCAGGACGGCTCCAGCCAGGTGACAGGGAGACACACCTGGTCCCCTCCCCAGTCCCGCGTCTCTCACCTGCCGAGGGCTGCCGGGCTCAGGCACCGGAGGGGAAGCTCATGGAGAGACCTCGCTGCAAGAGAGGGATGAAGATGGGGGAAGAGTCCCGGCTCCCCTCCTGGCGCCCGCGGCGTCTGGAATCCACCGTCACCCCGAGAGCAGAGTCTGGGGTCACCTGAGACCACCCTGCACAYGGCTCCAGTGGTGGCGGGGAGGGACCAGGGTTCAATGTCTCGGGCAGCATCGCTGCTGACCGGGAGAACAGAGGAATCGGGGTGTCCTAGAGGTGTCCAGGGGGGCTCCCCGGGGAGCCCGGGGATGCCGGGGTGGCTCTGGGGATGCCCGGGGCTGGGCGTTGCTCCACCTGCAGCCGAAGGAGCCAGGGCACCCAGAGCATGTGCTGGGGGACCCGGAGTCCCAGGACGCGGCAGAGTCCCCCTGAACAATCCCACCGCGGCAGGGACCCCCGGGGAGGCAGCGGGGGGAAGCAAAGCTGTGGCCGCGCCGGGACCCGGGGTTGCCAGGGTGGGACGGGACGGGACCGGGACCGGAGCTGCCACGGGCGGGCGGACGGGGCGGGAGTGCAGGGAGCGGAACGGAGTGGGCTCGGTTAGAACAGCGTGCGGGGAGCGGGGACAGCACTGACGGAGACGGGTGGCACCGAGAGGGCGGGGGCACCGGAACGGGACCAGGACTCGGACCAGGACCGAGAGCGAGACCGAGACCGAGACCGAGACCGTGACCGAGACCGAGACCGAGACCGAGACCGAGACCGAGACCGAGACCGAGACCGAGACCGGACCGGCCGTGCCGCGCCCCGCCAGCCCCACCACCTCCGCTCACTATCCCGCTGCCGCTGCCGTCGCTTACCGGATAGTCCGGCCGCGCCGGGCGGGTCTGCGCGTCCCCGCGGGGCGGAGCGGCGGGAGCGCGCCGGGGCAGGGTGGGGCGGGGCGGCACCGGGAGAGTCCGCACCGCTTCTGACACCCACCCGGCGGGTGCGGACACCGTCTCCGCAAGGGAACCCCGCAGGACCCCCACGCAGAGCTGCTGTCCCGAAGAGGGYGGGCGAGGGGACCCCTGGGGTCCGGCGGGGACTCGGGCGGGCGGAGCCGGGGATCGAACCCGGAACCTCGGGGCGGGGGTGGAACGCGGTAGGCGGAACGCGGTAGGCGGTGCCATCAGGGGAGGTGTGGCGGGGCGGGGCCGCGCGGGGGCTGCCGGGAGGTGTGTCGGGGCAGGGCCGCGCGGGGGCTGCCGGGAGGTGTGGCGGGGCCGCGCGGGGGCCCCTGGGAGGTGTGGCGGGGCGGGCGGGGGCCGGTACCGGGGCCGGACCGGGCCGGCATCGATCGCGGCGCCATGCAGAAATACGAGAAGCTGGAGAAGATCGGGGAAGGTGCGGCAGGGCCGGAGCCGTGCGGGGGGACCCGGGTGCTGTGGGGCCCGGCGGCGGTGTCGGTATAAAGGTACCGGGGGCTCGGCCGTGACGCCCCTCCGCCCCCCGCAGGCACCTACGGGACCGTGTTCAAGGCCAAGAACCGGGAGACGCACGAGATCGTGGCGCTGAAGCGGGTGCGGCTGGACGACGATGATGAGGTGAGGGAGTTGCAGGGGCTGGGACCCTCCCGGGGCCTCCCCGGGACCTCCCCGCGACCCCGGGGCACCCCCGGCTCCCCCAACCCGGCGTGTCCCGCAGGGGGTGCCCAGCTCGGCGCTGCGGGAGATCTGCCTTCTCAAGGAGCTCAAGCACAAGAACATCGTCAGGTACGGCGGGGCTCCRGGAGGTAACGGGGACTGGGGGTCGTGGCACGGCGACTGTTCCCCACTGGTGCCCCGGGCCCCACCGGCGCTGGGGAGCTCAGGGACCCCTCCCCTGCAGGCTCCACGACGTTCTGCACAGCGACAAGAAGCTGACCTTGGTCTTTGAGTTTTGCGACCAGGTGAGCATAGGGGGCACGGGGGTCCTTGGACTGGGTGGGCAGGGAGCCCCTAGCGGGTCTCCGAGGCTCACTGCTCCCGGCCCCCTCTACGCGACCCCCCCTCATTTTTGCCCAGGACCTGAAGAAATACTTTGATAGCTGCAATGGGGATCTGGACCCCGAGATTGTCAAGGTGGGTCTGGGGAGCGCCCAGTGGTCCCAGCTCGGCCCTGCGAGGGGGCTGCAGTGTTGGGAGGCTGATGGACCCCRTCTTTGCTCTCCTGCAGTCATTCATGTACCAGCTGCTGAAGGGCCTCTCGTTCTGCCACAGCCGCAATGTCCTGCACCGGGACCTGAAACCCCAGAACCTGCTSATCAACAGGGTGGGGCATGGGGGGTCGTGGAGGGGTCACAAAGGGAGGGGATTGGGACGATGGGTGATGGAGCAGGGGGCTGTCCATCTGTCTGGGCAGTCACACCTGGGAGCGGGGGCCTGTGCTGGTGGGGTCACACTTGGAAGTGGGGGACTGTCTTGAGGGGCACACCTGGTGTGTGTCCAGCCACAGTTGCAGCTCCATCTCTCCCATGTTCCCAGTGATGGGAAAGGCAACAGGGCCGCTGTCCCTGGGGTGCGGGGGACACAGGTGGGGTCCCCCGCGCTGACCCATCTGTCTCTCCAGAATGGGGAGCTTAAGCTGGCAGATTTCGGGCTGGCTCGGGCCTTCGGCATCCCTGTGCGCTGCTACTCAGCTGAGGTGAGTGGGGGCTTGGGGGGCTTGGGATCCTGGTCCTACTCAGCCGGCTGGGGGTCCCCCTGTCCCTGTCCGAGTGTCCCTGTCCTTCCCCAGGTGGTCACTCTGTGGTACCGGCCTCCTGATGTTCTCTTCGGTGCCAAGCTCTACTCCACCTCCATTGACATGTGGTCGGCAGGGTGCATCTTTGCAGGTACACTGAGGGGCCAAGGGAGCCGGGGAGAGAGCCTGGGGGGCCATGTGGGCTGGGGGCCTGTGGGAAACACCCCCTGTTCCCCCAGAACTGGCCAATGCAGGGCGACCCCTCTTCCCGGGCAACGACGTGGACGACCAGCTGAAGAGGATCTTTCGATATCCTTGGGAATGGGGCAGCCCAGCATGGGTTTCCAGCCTGGGAATGGGGAACTCAGGGAAATGGGAAGCCAAAGGAATGGGGACTGCTGGGAATGGGGAAATCCAGGAATGGAGAGTCTCCAGGAGTGGGGACCTCCCCTGGGAATGGTGAAACCCCTGGAAATGGAGAGCCCTGTGGGAATGGTGATCCCCTGGGAACAGGGACCCCCAGAATGGGGGATGGGGGAAACCTGAGAATGGAGAGTGCCTGGGAATGAGGACCTATTCTGAAAAAACCCTTGGGAATGGGGAGCCCTGCAGAATGGGTACCCTGTGGGGAATGGGGAGTTTTCAGAATGGAGATCCCTGGGAATGGGAAACTCCCCTTGGCTGGGCAGAGGGGCAGGTGCCAGGTGCCCCCGTGGTGGCCCTTGACTGTCCCCACGCTGCTGGGGACCCCAACGGAGGAGCAGTGGCCGGCCATGGCCAAGCTGCCGGACTACAAGGTGAGGGCAGGGGATGGGGGGTGTCAAAGGGAATAAGAGATCTCGGAGAGCTGGGGGTCACCTGTGTGTCCCCAGCCCTACCCCATGTACCCAGCTACCACCTCCCTGGTCAATGTGGTGCCCAAGCTGAACGCAACTGGCCGGGACCTGCTGCAGGTGAGACTCTGCCTGTGCCCCCCACCCCACCCCACCCCTGTGCTCCCCTGGCCCATGTGTCCCCCATCTCCTGCATCCCCTCCCATCTGCATCTCCCCTGCTCTTGTCCCATCACTGTGTCCCCCATACCTGTGCCCCTGGGAGTGGGTGCCCTCCCACCTCGCAGCCCCCCGCCTGCCTTCAGTGGGGTTGTGGGATGGGGGGGGATCCATGCTTTCCCCCTCAGCCCCTCCTGTACCCCTTAGAACCTGCTCAAGTGCAATCCGGTGCAGAGGATCTCAGCGGAGGAGGCCCTGCAGCACCCCTACTTCACCGACTTCTGCCCCCCCTAGGGCCCCYTGACGCCCTAGACCCCCCCTGAGGAGGGGCAGCCCCCAGCCCCCCACAGCTGAGTACCAGCCCATGCCAGCCCCCCTGAACTGCAGCCCCCCCTCCCCAGTATTTATTAGGTTCTGCCCTGGCTGCAGAGGGGCTGGCCTCCTGACCCCCCAGCCTGGGGGGTGGATGAGAGGGCTTGGACTCTCCTCGGGGACACAGGACTCACCTGGGGGCAGGGGACTTCCCAAGGGCACGGGAACCCCCAGGACATGGGGCCATAGTGCTGGTAGAGGGGCAGGACCCTCTGGGACCAGGCACAGGGACCCCAGGGGGAAATACATCCCCCACCCTCCTCTTCCTACTTTTCCCCAGCCCCTTCTCTGCTGGAGGGGTCCCAGGTGTGCCCTTTTGTAGGGTCATGCTGTACGTGGGTGATGTGCGTTTGGTATCCCATAAAGAGCTTCCCCCCCAGCGCCGCCTGCTCCTTCCTGGGGTGTCGGGGACCTCCCCACTGCCATGTGACAGACCCACCCAACCAGCCCCAACCCTAGCCCAGCCCTGTGAYCCCCCTCAGTGCTGCCTTCTCCTTCCTGGAGCACCCAGGACCCCTCAGCGTCCTCAGCCCCCTGTTTCCCGCCCCCAGCAGCCCAGAGTCAGGGCCTGGGGCACCTCTTTATTTGGGGGGTCTTTAGGGTGGGGTTGCATGTCCAGCGCGAGGGGGCACAGGCAGCGCATGCAGGGACGTGGGAGCAGGGCCAGGGGGGGGCCCTCACCCCCAGCCCCCCAACACCCCCTCAGGGGGCAGGGGGGGCCTGGAGGCCGCCCCGCGGCCCGGGGGTGTCCCCCCAGYCCCCCGGCCGGCGGGGGGGTGGGCTGGGCTCCGCGGGGGGGCCCAGGGAGGACCCTAGAGCCGGGTGACGAGGTAGCAGGTTCGGGGTGACGCCGAGACGGGGCGTGGGGCTGGGCAGGGGGGGCCGGGTGCTCTGCGGGAATTTGGGGGGTCAGGGAGGTCGGAAGGGTCAGCTCCCACCGCCGTCCCCAGCCCCCTGTCCCCCGCCCGCTGGGGGGTTCTGCCCTTTGCCCCCTCCCCATGTGCCTCCCGRGGTAACCCAGGAGCCCTCCACTTTGAGAGGGGCCACCACGCAGCCAGTCTGAAGCCAGGCTGGCCCCTCCCATGTCCCCCACCCGGTCCCTGCTCTCCTGACCCACTGTTTCCTGGACGGGAGGTTGGGGGATCCCAGCCTGGCTGGGGGGTGTCAGGGCAGGGGGGACCCCAGAACAGGATGCTGTGGGGGATGATGAGGATGGGGGAAGTCTGCAGGGAATGGGTCTATAGGAAATGAGAGGTCTGCAGAGAATGCGGGTGGGTTTGCAGGGAATGGGGGATATCTGCAGAGAATGGCCCCGCACACCCGTGCTGGCCCTGGGCGGCCCCCTAGAAACCTCCATGTGCCCCCGGGGAGTGACAGCCCCGCACCCTTCTGTGCCAGCCCCAGGGGGCTCTGTTTGCCCCCTCCACGTGTACCTGGGTGGSCGTGGGGCCGTGGGGCTGCCCGGGACCGCCGGGTGCTCCTGGACGGGTGCATGGAAGGACGAGAGAGCGGTGAGCGGTGGGGGGATGAGGTGCGACCCCTGGGTCGGGGGGTGGGGAGCAGGAGATGCGGGGGGGGTTACCAGCGTGCTGCCGTCGCTCCGGGGGCTCCGCTTCTTCTCCTTGTACAGGCTGAGGAGTTTGTCCCGGAACACCTGGTGGGGGGCACAGGTCAGAATCCCCAGCCCTGAGACCCGTGGGCAGGGGGAGGCCAGGGTGGGCTCACCTCATACAGATAGTCAAAGATCTCCAGGATGGTGAGGAGGCTGGCGCCGATGAAGAGCCCCATCTGCCCCCCGATGTCACCTGCGTGGGGGCTGACATCAGTGAGGGCAGAGCCCTGGTCCCACTGGCACCGCCAGTCCCCCCGTCTCTCACCCAGCAGCCCTGCCACCTCATACGCCTTCTTCTGCTCGATCATCTCATAGTTGAGTGCCTCRAAGAAGATGTCCAGGACCAGCACGTTTTCCCTGGGGGGACATGGGACACACRAGGGGGGAGTGTCAGGTGCAGGGGGGCCGTGCTGGGCTGTGCCGTGTCCGGTCAGAGGGCTGGACCGTGCCATGGGGTACCGTGGGACA